CTTCTTTTTAGCTCTGAATCTTCTTACTGTTGTCTCTTAAATAATTTCCTTTATACAGTTTATATAATGATAATTAAAGGAGAGAAACAGAAAAATGAATCTATACCATCCTGTTTCTGAAGTCTTAGCTATTATTTTTCAGTTGTGGTTTATGTCATTAAAAATTACTGATGATCCTAGAACATGTTAGAGGTTTGGAAATCCAAATAATGAATTAATGAATTAATAAGTAAATGGCTAATTACACAGAAGGATATAAGAAAGAAAACGGAAAGAAGGAAAGAATAAAGGAAGAAAACAAAAGGAAAGGACAGAATGTTGTCATCAATGGACAGTTCTAATAACATGTATTGGAAAGGACACTAACCTCACTGTGATACTAGGCAATGTAGAATTTTTGGCAATGAATTTAAGTTCTATAAACTTACATCTTCACAATTATAAAATGAAAGGCTTTGCTTAAAATGTGTGATCCCTTCCAGTCATGTATGCTCTGGTTCTTAAACAGGTTCTCTGAAAGTCACAATTGAAGCTCTATTTAAAAGTGGTCTGCTGTTAAGCTTATAGTTGCAGCTCCTCAGGCAGCATGCAAGCCCTTTGACACAGCTGTGCAGTAGTGGGAAACAGCAGCAAGTCAATTGAATTGGTGTAAAACAATAGGGGATTCTGCACATTTTCCCAAGCAATGGCATATGTGGGGCATGAGTGAAAGGGATTGAGCTGCCAAAAATGAAAGGCTCAACAGAGCTTTCACCTGTGAGCAGCTGGTCACACACTTTGGCTTTCCAAATATGTTCTCACATTGTGAGAAACCCACCCAGTGGCAATTATCTTTAAACATCAAGGACAAACATGTCATGGCTAATGCCCATCCAACTGTTAATGCAGTCTGTGCTTTTGTTGAAACTTCTGTTCCTAATCTAAAGGATATTTCATTTAACTGATACTCTGCCTTGTTGATATACCATTAGCACCTCAACTTTTTATGAAAGAAGTCACTAGGGATATCCTTAGAAAGTATATATTCTCTCTCCTTTTCCCTAGATTACTAGTGACCTTGTATAAAGAGTGTTAAGCAAACAAGGACCAGCATGTGGTGTGATGGTTACATCACTGGACTCACACATGGTTGATCACAGTTCAAGTCCTGGACCCAGTGCCTTAAAACTCACTCTGAGTGAGTGTGCATATGTGCCTAAAATCCTGAGAGAATGGAGGAGAGGGGATTCTGGTGTGGATGTCTTCCCCAGGGAATGATTTCTTGTTTTCTGTCTCTGGTAAGAGCACACACCCTGTAGCAAAAATCTCTCCCCCCAAAAATGTGTTAAGCAAACAAATAAGAGCTCCATTAAAATATTACTTGTGCTGGGCCCAGCAGTTAGTGTAATGGCTATGTCACTGGACTCCCATGTAGTCAACCGCAGTTCGAGTCCCCCACCCGGTAGCTTAAACTCATGCTGGGCGCATGTATGTGCGTGCCCAAAATCCAGAGAGGAGATTGGAGGAGAAAGGATTGCAGCATGGGTGGGTGATTTCTCGCTTTCTGTCTCTCTGTCTCTCTGTCTTTCTGGCGAGTGCACATGCCCTATAGCAAAAGGGAAAAAAAAAAAACTCAAAAAAATTAGTATCTATATATACACTACACTTAATAGTTTGTATGGTATGCTTCATGAATATATTAATATATAGCATTTTAGCTACTCTTCATATGTGCAAGTAGGAAGACTCTTAAAATGATCAGAGTTTGGGGCTGGCAAGTGGTGTGGTAATTGAGGCACTGGACTCCCACCTGGCCAACTGCGGTTTGAGTCTCAGACCTGACAGCTTGCTTTCTCACTTTCTCTCTCTCTCTCTTTTCTCTCTCTCTCTCTGATGAGTATGCATGCCCTGTATTAAAAAATTTAAAATAATAATATAAACAAATAAAAATAAAATTAATAATTATTTAAAAACACCTAACTCTTAAAAAATAGTACAAGAGCTTTCTATAATCTCTTTTCCCAAATGTAATACCTCCCCACCTCGAAGTAAAAAATGTTTCCTATTGCTCTTAGCCTGTCTCACATGCTCCTTCTTTTTTTTTTTTTTTTTTTAATTTTTTTTTTTTTTTTTTTTGGAGAGATTTTCACTGTAAGGTGCGTGCGCTCGCCAGACAGACAGAGAGAGACATAGAGACAGAAAGCGAGAAATCACCCCCCAGGGGGGATGGTCACGCCGCAATCCCTTCTCCTCCATTCTCCTCTCGGGATCTTGGGCACGCACGCACACATGCCCGGCGTGAGTTTTAAGCCACCGGGTCCGGAACACGAACCGCGGTCGACTACGTGGGAGTCCAGCGACATAGCCATTACGCTAACTGCTGGTTCCCACATGCTCCTTCTTTTGATGGAAATATTACTTCATCTTCTAAACCTGAATTTATGTGGAAAGTACCATTTATTTTCATTTCCTAGCTTTAATACCAGTTCTTCAGGAAAGCCTTGTCTGGGAAATCCTAGCAGCCATTGGATGTTAGCTAAGTGTTCCTTCTCTATTCTACCATATTATTCTCTATATATTGTCATATAGTAGCTCTAATATTATTTTGCACAATATTATATAGGCATATTTGTGTCCATAGTCCTGATGGATTCAGAGTATCTTTTAACTAAAAAATTAAATATATTAAAAAATTGCAATTTACCTTAACATATATTTTAGTATACAGTAGGTTATGTTTGACTATATGCACATAGTTGTATAGCAGATATCTTGAATTTTTTTTTTTTGAGAGATTTTTGCTATAGGGTGCATGCAATCACCAGAATGAGAGAGACAGAGAAACAGGAAGTGAGGAATCACCTCCCAGGGGGGATGGCCACGCTGCATCCCTTCTTCTCCATTCTGCTCTTGAGATCTTGGGTACGCATGCACATGCTCCAGGTGTGAGCTTAAGCCTCCCGGTCCGGGACTTGAACTGCAGTTGACTACGTGGGAGTCCAGTGACATAGTCACTACGCCAACTGGCTGGTCCCTGATATCTTGAATTTTTTTATCTTTTGTGACTAAAACTTCATATCCATTATACAACATGTCCCCAGGACCAGCAGATGGTGCAGTGGTTATGTCACTGGACTCCCACATAGTTGACTCTGGTTTGAGTCCCGGACCTGGTGGCTTAAAACTCATGACAGGCATGTGTACATTCATGCCCAAAATCCTGAGAAGGAATGGAGGAGAAGAGATTGTGACATGGCCACCCCCTCTTGGGCGGTCATTTCTCGCTTTCTGACTCTCTGGTGAGCGCACATGCCTTGTAGCAAAAATCTCTCTAATTAATAATAATAAAATATAAAAGTAAAACAACTCCCCATTTTCTCTTCTCCCTAACCCCTGGCAACCACCATACTACTTTCTACTTCCAAGAGTTTGATATTTTAGGTACCTCACATAAACAGAATTGAGATATTTGTCCTTCTCTTCTGGCTTATTTTACTCAACATAATGTCATCAAGGTGCATTCATGTTGTAGCATATGGCAAGATTCCTTCCTCTTTGAAGGCTGAATGTTGTACCACTATATGTAAATGCATATTTTCTTTATCTATTCATCCACCAATGGATATTTAGGTTGTTTCCACTCCTGTGAATAGTGGTGCAATGAACATGGAAGTGCACATATTTATTCAAGATCCTAATTTCAATTCTTTTGGAGATAGACACACACACACACACACACACACACACACACACATACACACATATGTAATTAGGAATGTTGGGTCATATTGAAGTTCTAGTTTTAGTTTTTTGAGGAACTTCCAATGTTTTTCAGAGTGTTTGCTTCATTATAAATTCCCACCAATAGTGCACAAAGGTTTCAGTTTCTTTACATCCTCAACAATGCTTCTTATTTCCTAATTTATTTTTTACTTTTATATTTATAATGGCCATCCTAACAGGTATGAGGTGATATTCGGGGGTTTTGAATTTCCCCAGGGATTAGAGATGCTGATTATCTTATATACCCATTGGCCATTTGTATGCATTCTTTGGAGAAATGCTTATTCAGTTCTTCACTCATCTTTAGTTAGGCTATTTTTTTTTTTGCTATAGGGTGCGTGTGCTCACTAGACAGAGAAAGACAGAGAGACGGAAAGCGAGAAATCACCCCCCAGGGGGGATGACCACACTACAATCCCTTCCCCTCCATTCTCCTCTAGGGATCTTGGGCACACACGCACACGTGCCAGGGGTGAGTCTTAAGCCACTGGGTCTGGGACGCGAACTGCGGTCAACTACATGGGAGTCCAGCGACATAGCCATTACACTAACTTCTGGTCCCGCTAGGCTATTGTTTTTGTGTAATTGAATTTAATTCCATATATAGTTTGGGTATTAATCCAATATCAAATATATGCATTTTGTCTGACCTTCATACCCATTCTAATTAGTAGGATAATTGAACTCATCTCCCATGCATGTGCCCTTCTCCACCAGGAGGGGAATGTATGCACAAGTCCCACCTTAGAACGAGTCCTGACATAACCCTTTTTGACCCAAATAAAAACACCTCCCATAGTTCTTTCTTGTCAACCCATTTTCTAAGACCCCTCCCTTCTTGGGAGCTCTGTTTTTCCTTCCCTCTCCTTCAGTAAACTCCCCACTTTGCTGTACCTACAAAACAAAAACAAAACCACAATTGTTTCTCTTTGGTTAAGTTTATTCCAAAATATTTTACCATTTTTGTTACTATCGTAGAGAATATTTTCCTAATTTCTAATTACTCAATTAGTGAATAGAAACACCACTAATTTTTATATTTTGTATATAGCAACTTTGCTGAATTTTTTTAGTAGTTCCAACAGTTGTGTGTATGTGTGTGTGTGTGTGTGTGTGTGTAAAATCCTTAGGGATAACTTTATATAAGATTGTGTTATCTGTGAATGGAGATAATTTTATCCTTACTTTCTGACTTGAATGTCCTTTATTTCTTTCTCTTGCTAAATTTCTTTTTCTAGGACTTCCAGTGCTATGTTGAATGGAAGTGGCAATAGTGGACATCCTTGTCTTATTCCTGATCTCGAAGAAAAGCTGTAAGTATTAAACCATTAGAAATTATGTCAGCGTTGATATTTTCATACAGTTTTATTATGTTGGGGTAAATTCCTTCTGTACCTAACTTGTTGAGAGTTTTTTTTTTTTTATCATTAAAGATATCAATTTGTCAGAGGCTTTTTCTGCATTTATTGGTATGGTTATGTGTTTTTTATCTTTCATTCTGTTAATGATATTAATTAATTTTTATAATTGAACATCCTTGCATCCTCCCAAAAAATCTCACTTGGCCATGGTCTACGATAATTTTAATATGTTGTTGAACTTGGTTTGCTAATATTTTTTAAGGAGTTTTGTATTTATGCTCATCAATAATATTGGTCTGTGGTTTTCTTTCCTTGTAATGTCTTTGTTTGATTTAGTACCAGGATTGTGGAGGCCTCATAAAATATGTCTGAAAAATCTTAGAAGAGTTTAAAAAAGATTGGTATTAATTATTTAAATGTTGGACAAAATTCTCCAGTTATGCAATTTAGTCCTGGACTTTTTGTTAGTTTGTGATTACTGAATTTAATTTCTTTACAATTTATGGGTATTCAGATTTTCTATTTCTTTGTGATCAAGTCTTGGTAGGATATATATTTCTTGGATTATTATTTTTTTTTCTTTTCTTCCTTTTTTTTTTTCTTGTTGGTTATCTGGTTTGTTGCATATAATTGTTCATATTAGTCTCTTATATTCTTTTACTTTCTGTGGCATCAATTGTAATGTCCTCTTTCATTTTTAATTTTTTTTTAATAGAGTCTTCCTTCTTTTTATCTTAGTCTAGCTAAAGATTAGTCTTTTTGTTGTTGTTAATTTGTGAGAGAGAGAGAAAGAAGAGAGATCCTTCAGAGGGTCTGTGTGCAGTAATTTCCTTCTCAGCTTTGCAGCCTACCAGCCAGGATCATGGATGAGCCTATGAGCATTGCCAAGTGTGTTAAATCAGACCTAAGATATGAAACTGAAACCTTTCCATGTGGTCTCTAGCATCATACAGCAATGTTCTGCTTCCCTTCAGCTGACCGGTCATTTTTGTTTATATTTTCAAAAAATCAATACTTAGTTTCATTGATTTTCTTCTATTATTTTTCTGTTCTTTATGCTCCATAATTATTTTCTTCTTTTTGATAACTTGGGGCTTAGACTGTTCCTTTTTTATTCTAGTTCTTTAAAGTGTGGAATGTTTATTTGTGATTCCATCTTTTTTTTTTTTTTGGAGAGATTTTCGCTATAGGGCGCGTGCGCTCGCCAGACAGACAGAGAGAGACATAGAGACAGAAAGCGAGAAATCACCCCCCAGGGGGTATGGTCACGCCGCAATCCCTTCTCCTCCATTCTCCTCTCGGGATCTTGGGCGTGCACGCACACGCGCCCGGCATGAGTTCTAAGCCACCGGGTCCGGGATGCGAACCGCGGTCGACTACGTGGGAGTCCAGCGACATAGCCATTACGCTAACTGCTGGTTCCCTGATTTCATCTTTTTTTAATGTAAGTATTTATCATTTAAAAATCCTGCTTAATATAGCTTTTGCAGCATCTCATTTTGTTGGTATATTTTAGCCTTTTATTTTAATTAGTCTCAAAATGTTTTCTAATTCACCTTTGATTTTTTCTTTATTTCATTGGTTGTTGAGACTGTTGTTTAATTTCCTTATATGTGAATTTTCTATTTCTTTTTAAAAAACATTTCTAGTTTCACTCTAAATTTCTTAAATTTGTTAAGGCTTGTTTCACAATCTATGCTCTAGCAGGAAAAATAAATGAACATAATCTATTAAAATGCCTGGTAAGGGGGGGCCAGCTTGTGGCATGACTGTTAAGGTGCTAGACTCCCACATGGCCAACTACAGTACTAGTTCAGGAGCTGGCAGCTTGAAAAATCACACCAGGTGTGTGTTTGTGTGTTCTCAAAATCCTGAGAGGAGAAAAGAAAAGGGATTGGGTGTGGCCTATCCCCTGGGGGGGTGATTTTTCAGTTTCCCTCTCTCTATCTCTCTCCAGCAAGCACACACGCCCTCTGACAAATTATCTATCTATATCTATCTATCTATCTATCGATATCTATATCTAATATATATCTATATCTAAATAAAGAGATTATCTCTCTACTTACAGATTATTATTATATATAGATATAGGTAGTTAATGAAATGCAGCTGCTTGGATGACTGGCTAGAACTACAGAGGAAGCTGTAAATGTGTATGTGTAAGGTTAATCTAATAGGATTTATGTCCTTTTAAGAAGATGGGACACCAGGAATGTTCCCACACAGAGAAAAGGACTGAGCAAGAAGGTAGCAGTCTGCCAGACAGGCAGAGGGGTCTCATGAGAAACCAGTCCTGCTAGCACCTTGATCTTAGACTTCTCAGGCTTCAGAACAGTAAGAAAATGAATTCCTGTCTTTAAGCCACACACCTCTGTGGTATTTTGTTATGGCAACCCAAGCTAACTAATACACATATTTTACCAATTTGGATAATATATGGTTTCATAGATTTGGATTATCCACAATTACGTGATTATAGCCCTTGAGGTCTGACTCCTTTAACTATTTTATGATTATTAGACCATTTTTTACTTTTCCTACTAGTGTTATAGAATTAAACTTATTTTTTCTTGGGGGAATAAAATTGCGTTTCCTATTATAGATTACTGGAAAGTTTTTATCTCATTGCCTTGTTCAGAAAAAAGAATTATAGAAGGACTTTAAAATTAAACAATAATGTAGGCAAATAATAGTTAGTGTTTTAAAACTGAAGACCATAGATTGCATTAATAACTTCTCTCTACTTAATCACTTCTTTTAAATTATAAAAATGTATATACATACACACACATATGTACTCTGTTTATCAATAGGGAAAAGGAAAATTGGATGTGTGTTTCTGTGTGTGGGCCATTTACTTAAGAAAACAAAAATAAAAACAAAGCAAAACATTTTAATTTTAAATTTATGCAATGGTACATTTAATTCTTATGGAACTAAAATTTGTCTCTCTTGAAAAATGTATCTAAGTATATGAAAATGAATTTAACAATCCACCCCCAAAATAGAATAAGGAATATATGCAGGTATTACTGAAAAAAATGCAAACTGAAGTTCAATGTGTAATTAACCACTTTCCACTACCAAGATATTATGCCTGCCATTTCTATTTTGTATTTGGGAGTGTGGAACAATTCTAATATGTCATATTTCTAGATCCTTAGGTTAATGGAAACATAATGAAAACAAATGTACAGTGAGGAAAAAACAAGGGCAAAATATACTGAAATTCACATAACAGATTAGGAAAGGGTCCTGCCTATGGACCATCTACAGTGCTAGTTAGGAATGGGAAGGGGGGGGACAGAGTTTCTACAGATGGCTTTGATAATCTTACTGCTTTATTAGATTAAATAAATTGTGGCTTATAGCAAGGAGAGAAAGAGTGCTAAAGAGTGCTGTAGAAAGAGAAATGAATGTACAATCAAGAGACTGGTATCTGGTCTTGGATCCAGGTTTGCTTAGATACATGATCTGGAGTGAACTGCTTCACCCAAACTCTTTGGAATCCCTTCAAGTACAAAGTAAAGAAAAGAGACTCAGTGACCTTTAAAGCACCTTAGACTCGAAGATCTGATATTATTTTTATTCTTCATTCTCTTTTTCTTCTATTGTGATAGCATTTCCCCTTTAAAATTTTGCACAGGAACCTCATGAGTACCATGAAAGACTCATTCTTAAACTGTAGTGGAGTTACTGGAGAACTTGAAGCAGACAGTACAAATTATCTGCTGAGAAGTTTATCCTGTACAATATTAAGTACATTTTTAGTGCCTTTAATTTTCATCTTTGTACAAAGCAATTTTTATCATTTGTGCTTAAAAGAAATTATTTCCATTATATCGATTCAAATTTCAAGGAAAACCCATGACTGGTCCTGTTATTAACACTGTAATCATTAGTCATCTGTAAAAAATAAAGGAACATGGACAATAAGTTAACTATACTGGGTCTACATAAGTAAATTTTGGACATTTTCAAAAATATAAACACTAATAAAGAATGTCATTTACAGTCTCTTGCTTTCTAGCCTATTGTCTCAAATTCTCACCCTGCAAGCCATTTAGTTAATAGTTATTTCCCTCATGAATATATAATAATTTAATGAGGCATATTTTTAAAGTTCTCTCTTCATCATAATTTTCCCACATGATGGACTGTCAGGCTTGTTTCTAGAGAAGACCTAGCTTTAAAGTTGGCAAGTCGAAATAATATTGTTTCTTGGGCAAGGATTTTATGCTTTAGAGAAATTTTTACTAATTAATAACTAGCCATCATGGCCTTATATTTACCACCTTTATTCCCTTTAAGAAATGAAGATTGCATACTAAAAAAATGATGTGATTAATGCAACCTGTCTAAGTGCTCATTCAATATATAACTAGTCCCCCAAAACCCTCAAATAGGATTAACACATCTGAATACAAGATGGACTGGACAATTCACTGAATAAACAAAAAGTAGAAAAAGGAACCTATTGATATCGATCTTAAATAACCAAAACCCTCAAATAGGATTAACACATCTGAATACAAGATGGACTGGACAATTCACTGAATAAACAAAAAGTAGAAAAAGGAACCTATTGATATCGATCTTAAATAACGACCAGTTAGCTATGCTCACATATCTAAGTCACTTAACATCTCAGTCTTACCTCTCAAATGGGAGTGATAATTCCTCACCAAACTAAAGGCAACAGGTTAAAGTCAGTATTCATTTGAGGCCTCAACAAATACTGAGGGCCAGAATTCTCATATTAAAGGTGAGTCAATGTGTTAAGGTAATGTCTGAATGTTTGTGTTCTCTCAAAATTTGTGTGTTAAACTCGAACCCCCAAGATATTAGAAAGTGGGGCTTTTGAGAGGGAGGGCATTAGGTAATGAGGATGATTTCTCATAAACTCGATTATAATAGTCCCCTTATAAAAGAGACCAGAGGGAGCTCTT